TAAACCCTAAACCCTAAACCCTAAAAACACTAATTCATATTTATTACCAAAATATTTATTTATTGTAAAAAAAAAAAGAATTATATTCTATGGGGATACAGGTATGTATTTACGGTTTAGGGTTTTAGGGTTTAGGGTTTAGGGTTTAGGGTTTAGGGTTTGTTTATACAGGAGCCTCTCCTCCAACGTCGTTTCTTTGAGGCACGCGACGCACTCCTTAAGGACTAGCAGCAGCAGCAAACAGTTGCTGCTGCTGCTGCTGCTGCTGCAGTGTATGCAGCAGCAGCAGCAAACACTGCACAAGCAGTGTGCAGCTGTTGCTGCAGTGTTGCTGCAGGAACACTGCAGCAACAGCAGTAGTATATGATACAGTTGCAGCAGCAGCAGCAGACAATGCTGCTGCTGCTGCTGCTGCTGCAGCAGCAGCAGCAAGCGCTGCTGCAGCATTTATAAATGTATTTGTCTGCTTCTCTGCCTACTCTTTTTGTAAAGGAGGCACTGATGGTTTATACCATCAAACCCTAAACCCTAATCTAAACCCTAAACCCTAATTAGAAATCTAAACCCTAATCTAAACCCTAAACCCTAATTAGAAATCTAAACCCTAATCGAAACCCTAAACCTTAATAGAAACCACAAACCCTAATCTAAACCCTAAACCCTAATATAATTCATATGCCCTGGCAACGCATGCATGTAGCAGCAGCTGCTGCTGCTGTAGGTGTATTAGCTGCTGCAACAGGTACTGCCATTGTTGCATTTCGGCAGCAGCAGCAGCAGCAGCAGCTGCTGCTGCTGCTGCTGCTGCTTCTGACTCTATTGCTGTTGCTGCTGCACCAGAACCTGCTGCAGCAACAGCAATGATCATAAACCCTAGTTTATAAACCCTAGTTAGGCTAGCAGGGACGACGAGCAGAGGACAGAGGTGAAGCCGTGCAAGGGTTTGGGGTTTAGGGTTTAGGGTTTGGGGTTTACAGAGGCGACGGAGGGGTTTACAATAATAATATATTTAATATAAGGGTTTATAATTAGGGTTTTGTCTTAACTCTATTAGTTGATGGTCTGAGGGTTTACTAAACCCTAAAAAGATACAGGAGATGTATTATAGCACGAATCCTCGTTATTAGGGTTTAGGGTTTAGGGTTTAGGGTTGTTCAATCGTAGCAGCAGATAGACAGTAAAGTATAATTCATCTTGGTATTTAAAAGGTTTAGTGTTTAGGGTTTAGGGTTTAGGGTTTAGGGTTTAGGGTTTGCTGTTCTCCTATGTCCCTTCATTGACAGGCCCCAGCCCCACGGGGCCCCCCGAAGGGTTTAGGGTTTGGCTACTAGGGTTTAGGGTTTAGGGTTTAGGGTTTATGTCCTTCAAACTTATTCTTTTTTGTTTTTTAATAACTTAATTAGCTGTCTCTTCTCTTCAGGTGTTTATAAACCCTCTATTGTTGGCTTCGATCCAAACCCTAAACCCTAAACCCTAAACCCTAAACCCTAAAGCAGGAACTGTAGAAGCCTACTTTTTTGAACCCCTGCAACAGTGGCTGCTGCTGCTGCAGCAACTGCAGCAACTGCAGCAACTGCTGCAGCTGCAGCGCCAACAGCCCCTGACAACTGTCTTCTATCGTGCAGCTGTTGTTAGGGTTTAGGGTTTAGGGTTTAGGGTTTGTCTACGCGACTGCTCCTGGTGGTGGTCGCTAAAGGTTCGCTCTGAAGGAAATCAGGGTTTAGGGTTTAGGGTTTACTGGAGATGAGCACCAAGAGGTTGGCGCCGGCTCCTCCGGCCCCAGTGGGTGAGCAGCATTAGGGTTTAGGGTTTAGGGTTTAGGGTTTACGTTCAGGATGGGGGTTACCATAGGCTACGAATGCATCTCTTACGGTATTATTTAGGGTTTAGGGAGCTGATGCATGCTGAGGGTTTAGGGTTTAGTGTTTAGGGTTTTGTTTTGCCTCTGCAGACGTGGCAGGAAAGCGCAGATGTGTTGACGGCGGGACGACCACCGTATCTTTCCGTAAACCCTAAACCCTAAACCCTAAACCCTAAACATCTTCTTCTGGTTTGCTAGTTGTTGCTATTGGCATGCGGGTGGTGGCGGGGGTTTCGGGTTTGTCTGCCTAGGGTTTAGGGTTTAGGATCCTGAGGGTTTAGGGTTTAGGGTTTAGGGTTTATATATGGATCTGGTTATTATATAGAATTATCATTATATATTGATAAGACATGTCACCAAAAACGTCAAAATTAAGGGTTTAGGGTTTAGGGTTTAGGGTTTAGGGTTTAGGGTTTAGGGTTTTGTATATTCAGCTGGATACTATATAGAGGCAGCATCTTATGGAGATAAAGGAGCAAGAAGACAGATGGAGGATGAGCGATTAATGATTTCTTCTTTAGCACAATTAGAACCTTCTCTTAAATCTAATCGGGATTTCGCGTAAACCCTAAACCCTAAACCCTAAACCCTAAACCCTAAACCCTAAAAAATTCTTAAACCCTAAATATATATAATAAA